AGGTAACCGCGTCCCTGTGGTTTGTACAGTGAATGGCGGCGCACGTGGCCATGGCTTTCCTCCTGCAGAGGGGGTGCCCACCGAGGCCACACCCGCTCGTGTCTTGCACATTATTAAAGACGTTAATGACCGTGCGTGCTGTTGTCGTTTTCATTAGAAGTAGGCGTCTCCAGGAGCAAAGGCTCCTGAAGCCACTTTTTAAAAACAGATTTTATTTTTCAGAGCAGTTTTAGGTTCGCAGCAAGAGTGAGGGTACGGTACAGAGTTCCCACGTGCCCCCCCGCCCCGCTGCCGCCTCCGTCTCCCAGCATCCCCGTAGGGGGTGCATTTGCTACCAGGGAAGAACCTGCTCTGCTGCATCACCCGGGAGCAGTACATTCTGTGGGTTTGGACCCAGGCTCGATACACGTATTGCGTAACCACCCTTGTAGTTCAGAGTATTTTCCTGCCCTAAACTCCTCTGTGCTCTGCCTATCTATGCCCGCTCCCCACCAACCCCTGGGGACCACTGGTCTTTTCACCGTCTCCATGGCTTCTGCCTGTCCCAGAAGGTCCTAGAGTTGGAACCACACGTGTAGCCTTTTCACGTTGGCGCCTTTCACTGAGAAATGTGCACTGACGCTTCCTGTGTCTTTTCATGGCTCGTCTGAAGCCCTTTTTGAAAGGAAAATACCAACTTCTGGGGGTTAACCCTAGGCTTCCACATCCTACCCCCTCCCTCCCGCCGGTGCTGCGGCCGCTGTGGCTGTGCTGGAGACGAGGCTCTTCCAGAACCTGTGGGCCAACAGCGCCGGAAGGAAAACTACCCACACCCACTCCCTGGCCCTGCTTCCCGTGGGCACTGAGAGTACGAACGAGACACAGCTCACACAAGAGGCCGGCAGGCGGGCCTGTCCCTCCCCGTGAATTCCCGACTTGAGGGGAGCTGCTCTGAACCCCTGCGGGTGATGACAGGCACCAGTGACAGTGCCTTCCTTGCTGGCAGTAACCTACAGCTGCAGAAGGAGCAGGTTCACCCGGGGGTTAAAACACGGTCGTGAAATGTGAGCGAGTCGGAGGTGAGCAAAGCGTCCGTTCTTGTGCCAACTTGGGTACAAACACCCGAACCGCTGGTGACACTGTCACCTGCCTGGGCTGCTCTGTCCACTTCAGTCACCACGCTGCTCAGCATCACCCCAAAAGGAAAAAGGACCCAATGTTCTGGCCTCAACACAGACGCGGGACGTGAACGCCTCACGCTGACGCGCTCTAATACACAGCTTTGGGGGATGCAGGGCGGAGGGGCAGTGGCCCAGCCGGTGGAGGGGGAGCCGTGGGCCGGGCTGCTCACCACACCACGTCGTCCGTGCTCTCCGCCAGGCACTGGGCCAGGTGGCTCTCAATGTCCAGCTGGGTCAGCCTGCGAGGAGAGGAGAGGGTCACGGGCAGGGAGGGCGCCCGGCCAGAGCACGCGACACCCGCTTTCACGCCCTTCCTGGGTGCTCACCACGCACCAAAGAGTAGCTGGAGAGAAACGGGGACGGTGCCCTCGGCTGGCAGAACCAAGGAGGGGGCCCCCCAACCAGAAAGGGCCTTTCCAAACCCTGCTCCTGGGTCCAAGGTCCCCAGGGCGCCCAGAAGGCTTGTTGGATGCCCGTTCCCAGGCTCACCTGGCACCTGCGTCTGAGACTGAGGGGAACCCTGTGTCAGAAAGTCCCAAGTAAAGGGCGTGGGCAAGACACGGGGCCCCCCAGGTGGAGGGCGGGGTCCCCACCCCCCATGGCGGGGGCTCTGTCTCATCAGTCAGACAAGCCCACCAGGTGTGTCCGCACCAACAAATGCCCATGCGTCCCTTCCCTCCTTCCCTCCGAAGTTTTCCTTCGAAAACTACCCGCTTGGCAACCAGAAAAGAAAAGGCGTGAGCGCTGGTGACTAGGAGGGCGGTCACTACGAAGGTGGGCGTGCGCCTCAGACCTGAGAATGTATCTTCTTCACTCAGGGACTCGGCCCCTCTGGGGAAGAGGACTTAGTGGGGCTCCACGGCCCACGGGTCAGCCCCTCGGCATTGGGTGGGGGAGGGGAGAGGGGGCGCCGGTCACAGCGGGCGCCTCCCATCCCTGACCTCGTCTGATGCCATCAAGGAGGAGAGGCCGGGAATGACCGTCCCCCATGTGCTGGTGGCCCATGTACGGTCAGCTTGCAGCCACGGTGCCCAGAGGGCGGCAGAGCCAGGCGTTCGGCAGACCAAGCTGGTCACCTGGCCAGAGCAGACAGGCCCTTCCCTGCACCACTACGTCCTGGCGCCCAGCCTGAAATGACCTCCTTTCACCGCGTGGCTCGGTTGAGCCCGAGGGCCATGGCCTCTCCCCTGATGCACGCCCACGGCGGCCTCTGCTGCTCACGGGAGCCCCTGCCAGTCCGGGTGACCTTCTGCTCCCTCCTGGGGATTTGAGGCCCCCGGTCAGTGCCTCCTCGAGTCCCTAGAGGCCCCTCAGCCCGTCCTGGGAAGCAGCCCCTCCACGTGCCTTCTCCGAGGCCACCAGAAGACCCTAAGATCTGGACCGGGTCACCTCGTCCGGGGGCTGCCCGGCACTGTCCCTCGGTGGGGACACAGTCTGGGATTCCCTCACACACCCCAACAGGAGCCTCGTGGCGGGTCCACTTTGCACACTGAGCTTCTGCCTCTGTCTCCCACTCGTGCCCGGTGCGTGGACGGGAGGCCCAGCACAGGAAGGGGCTCTGCTCCGACCCTCCAGGGGCCTCGGAGCGCGTGAGACCCCACGGGCTGGCCTGGGTCTCATCACGCGGACACGGTGCCCATCTGGTTTCCCGTCCTCACGTCAGGTGGCGGGTGAGAGCCAATCTCCGGAACCAGCCCCGAGCTCACGGACCCCGAGGGGCTTTCACACACACGTGGTACATGACGGCCCTCAGGTCAGAGAAGAATCTCAGAGAACAAACGGTTCTGAGTGACCCGGAAAGCGCGAGGCTCCAAGAAAGACAAGCACCGTCTCACTGCCCGTGGCGCCCAGGCCGCCCGCACCTCCCGCGGCCCAGCAGCCCATCCCTCTGCTCCGAGGGGCGGCAGGGCTTCCATCTCTGCCCCAAAACAGTCCCCAGAATCACTGAAAGCAAGTGTGGGACAGTCCCATTTCTGTCCCCTAATGGCCTGACCTGTCCCCTTGCCCCAGGGGTGGAGGGGCGCGGGGGGGGCGCTTTCCACTCTCACCCTGCAGGTTCGGGGTGTGGCCCGGCAAGGGCCCGCTCTCTCCTTCTTAATCAGAGGGAAGAACGTGCTAGAAGCATTCCAGACACGCGGAGGCCTGGACCCAACCGCACTGACACCTACTCTGCAATCCCGAGGCATTCTGCCCAGCCTCAGTCTAACTGCTTAAAGAGCTCAGACTAGAACTTTCTTTCTAACGTATCTCGGAGTCCTTTTTTAGACTGTGTAGAAAAACAAGTAATCCAAGAACAAAAGCCACCCCTGGACCGGGACGGAGGGGCTGGGCCGCACGCCTGCTGCCAAGAAGACGCTCTTCCAACGGCAGCGAATCGAGAGGACTCCGTGTTGTAAGACGCGTTCGCGGCTTCATCAGGACCCGTAGGCGGGGCTGGGGGGCGACTCCCCTGGTGGCGCGGTGGTTAAGAATCCTCTTTCCAATGCTGGGGACACGGGTTCGAGCCCTGGTCGGGGAACTACGATCCCACATGCTGCGGGGCAACGAAGCCCGCGCGCCGCAACAAAAAATCCCACGTGCTGCAACTAAGACCCGATGCACCAAAAATAAACAAATGTTTAAAAAAAAAAATTGGTGAGAGAGCTGGTGTTTGCAGCCCACAACTGTCCTGAAGCATCAGTACAGGCAAGAGACGTGTTCGGTGAGACACTGGGTCTGGGAAAAATTTTCCAGTGCTACGAGGAGCACGGGCATCTCAGCGCGGCTGCCACACCCACTGCACCCCCCCCGCCCCCGCCATGCCAGACCTGTGCCGGCTGGGGGGCCTCGCCCACAGGCCCCCCTGGGGACAGCCACCTCCTCACCCCTCGCCCTCACTCTCCCCAGCCCCAGCCGTCCAGGCCCCCAAAAGCTTGGCTCCAGTGAAGTGTCGCCACTGGAGGAGCCTGGATGTTTGACTGCAGGCCTGTGCAGTTTTGTGCCACACGTTTTGATCACTGGTTTGGTGACTTTTGTGTGTCATCAGCTGCTAGTTCTATAAGCCACTCCCTTCACCCCCCAGGGCTGGTTTTACTTCTGGAAAACCAAAGACAAGGCACGTAACTGAACCCACTCTCCAGGCCACGGGACACGCAGAGCACGTCCAGCTACCGAAACCGGCCGTCCACCCCCTTCATCCGACCAAACTCCTTCCTGCCGTCCTGACCCCCATGACCCCCCACACACACCTGTGTCCTCGGCTTTGTGACATGTGGCCCACAAGCTGGGCAGTTGGGACTTCTTAGCAAAATCCAATTCCACCACCCTTACTTTTAAAAAGGTATAAAAGTATACATTAGACTTTTAAAAAGAGATAAGTATCTCTAGACACAGAAACGAAATCTTGTTTTTAAAACTGGCAATCCACCCACGGGGGAAGGTGCCCGAGGGGCTGTAACAGAAAACTGCTCAGTGACCCACAGCCTGGACTGGCTCTGGAGGCAGTCCACCCGGGGATGCCAGTCACTTCCCGGTTCCCGGATGTCAGGGTGGACCCGGTTGGAGCCAGAGCCTCCCTGCCCTCATGCTGCAGAGTCTCAGAGGCCCCGTCCAGGCGGCTGCAGCCTGTCAGCAGGGCCCCAGGCCGGTGGACCAGGAAGTAGACCCCCAGACCTGCACCCCTGTGCCCTCTGGCTCATCAGCACCGTCTCTGTGCTTGCCCACTTTTTCTGCGTGAAATATCACTTTAGAATGCCAAAGTCGCGCTCAGTTACCCTAGCTTTCTGAAACTGCCTGTGGTTTCCAGAGAAAGAGCCACCGGGTGGCAGCAGAGGGGAGGGAAGGCCCAGGGGGGCCACTCACCTGGGGGCGAAGACGGCCTGGCACATGGGGCAGCTCTGCAGTGTCGGCAACCCCTCTACGGACGGCTGCTCCTCAGCGCTGGAGGTCCCGCGGGGCTCGGGCGCGGGGTGTCGTTGGGGGGACCAGGCGGAGGACCCCGTGCGCCCCAGGGCCTCGCGGAGCACCCGGTCGCAGTCGCTTGGGTCCCCGCCTCGCCGCGGGGCCGGCGGGAAGGGCGTCCAGGAGAAGGTCTCGGTTCCCACGATGAAGCTTTCCGGGGGCGCGCGCTCAGGGCTGCGCCTGGGCTCCTACAAGACGGGGTCGTCGGACCGCGCCCGCCCCGCCCCGCCCCAGCCCGAGACCCGGGGCCACGCAGGGACCACTGCACACGCACCTGGCCGGGGAACGCGGGCAGCGGCGGCGGCTCGCCGTCCACGTTCAGCTCCGCATACGCGGCGCGCAGCAGCTCAGCCCACGGCCGCGCACACTCGCCGCCGTCCGGAGGGGAACCGGGGGGGTTGCTCGGGGACCTGGGGCGACGGGGCGGTGAGAACTCAGCCGGCGGGGAGGGCACAGGAGAGAGGACTCAGCGGGGGGGACAGGTGTGCAGCTCGGCGTGGGGAGGTGAGAATTCCGCGGGTGGGGGTCGGGTGGGAAGAGCTGGGGGGGCGGGGCAGGTCCGAGGCGGGCTCGGGGAAGCACGTGGGGACGTGACACCCGGCCACTGCTCGGCCGGGGACACTAGCCTCCCCATTCTCCCTGCTGCCCCCAGCCCCGGCCTCACCGGACCCCCGAGGGTGGCCTCCGGCGGCTCAGTCTCAGTCTCGACCTCTTCGCCGCCTCCATCCGCCCGGAGCCAGCGCGTCCGGCGGAAATGAGCGGCCCGCGCGCCGGACCCCGCCCCCAGCACAGACCCCGCCCCCGGCACAGACCCCGCCCCGGGCACTCCCGGCTCGCCAGGGCGGAACGCAACCCAGGACCCCCTAGTCAATCCCCGCACGGCCAGACGTGAGCTGTGGACCCCAACTCCCACCCCCACGTGGGCGCTTGACCCGACCCTGGGGACCCCACGACCTGCTCCGCAGGCCATGAGGTGACCTCCCCTTTGTGGCACTATCGGAGGGTGGTATCCTGACCCCAACCTTTGGGGAGACGGAGGCCAGGGTTCCTCCGTCCACCGCGGAGGCGGCACTGAGGTCGGGAGGCTGCCTTGCCCTGAGGGAGTCATTTTCCAGCTGAGCCGGGGGATGCCGCCCTCACCCCTCAGGCCTGGGGTCTGCAGCGGCTTCTAGGAGGAGGAACTGCGCGGGAAGACAGCTGGGGGTCCTGGCGTCCCCACCCGCCGCTTCCAGGCCTGATCTAGCTCTGCCACCTCCCTTTGCATCGGCAGCCCTGAGCCTGGGCGTCCAGCTCTGACGACCCGGGCGATCCTTCCCCGTTTCCTTACAAAAGGAAGGAGCTTAGTTCCCTTAATTAAGAAATAGAGGGACTTCCCTGGTGGTCCAACGGTTAAGACTCCGCGCTCCCAATGCGGGGTGGGGGGTGGGGCCTGGGTTCGATCCCTGGTCAGGGACCTAGAGCCCGTGTGCCGCAACTAAGACCCGGTGCAGCCAAATAAGTAAATAAATAAAAAGCAATGTGAGACGACCAAGTGCAGCGCCCGAGTCCTGGGCCAGGGGCGGGGGCCTGGAGGTGGAGGGCCTTTGAGGGGGCTTCTGTGACACCCCGGGCGCCAGGCATTCTCGTCCAGTGACCTTGCAATCCGCCACGTGGTGGCAGCAGACGCCCAGGCACCCTCGGCCACTCCTGTCGGTGCAGAGTTTGTGCCCTGGGGGCCCCAGGATGGGACTGAGGTGTGCAGGACGAGCCGGGTGGTGGTGGGGTTCCCAGACACGGCACCACTGGCTCTGGCTTCAGCTTCCGCTGCTTCAGAGCCTCTCCTGGAACTGTCACCGCGCCTCTGAGCGCCAGCCGTGGGGACTTCCAGGAGGAACGCAGGCAGACGGGGCCCCAGCAGGCCTCCACGGCCGGCGCATGCCCCACTGTCGGGGCCGTTCTGGGAAGCCGCATGGGGACATCTGTGTGAGCAGCTGCTCCTCCCCCGTAGGGCTCTGGGAACTGAGCCCTGGGGTCTTCAGCGTCCTGGCCTCTGCCTGTACAGACCTCACACAGCCGACGCCCCAGCCCAAGACAGACAGCTTGAGGCAGGAGCAGGGAGGGTCTCAGGTGCCCCGAGGAGGTGCAGGCCCCGGTGGCTGTCAGGGCCTGGCTGAGCCTGGCTCTGGCCTTCAGCACAGCGGGTGGGGGGCACTCATGCTCCTTTGGCCTTAACCACGCCAAAGGGCCTCATTTACCCTGGGCTGCTGGGGGGTGCATGGGATCTAGACCCCAGGCCAGGCAGAACAGAGGCCCTCGGGATCCATGCTCTGGGGATGGCAGAGCCAGAGCGACATGTCAAAGCTGTCTCCTGGGGGCTTCTCTCTGGTTTCATCCAGCTGCTGGGGATTAACTCCCCCATCGCCACTGAGACCTACAGCCCGGGACACTTCCACCGAGAACAGAGCCGGGGTGACCCGTATGCCTGCTCGCGGCAGGTGCCGGCACCCGGCAGGAGCCCCATCCCCTTGGCTGCCGCTTTCCCGACAGCTGCCCGCCGCCTGCCCAGCCCGCACGAGGACCTTCTGGAGGTGGACGGGGACCCACCTTGCCCCAGCTGTCCTGGCGTTATCAGCAAGACGCGGTGGCGGGGGGGGGGAGGGGGGGCTGGAGGAAGTTTAAAAGTTGAACGTGATTAAAAGGCTCCCGTTTTCTGAGCCACCTGCTGCAGTGACAGGCCGCGGGCTTGGCTGGAGAAGCATTTCTGATCGGGACGGAGGCTGGCACCGCGGGACAAGATTTTTACAAGCCAAGTTTATGTTTACAGAGAATATTTCACGTTCTGGAGGAGGCAGCCCTCCAGCGAAGCAGAAAGAGCGCCAGTGGGCAGGGGTGGCGGCCCCACCAGCTGTGAGGCCACCTCCCCCCATGCTCTCTGGCTTTGTCCACGATGGCGCGCCAGGTACGCCCTCCCCTCCCAGAATCAGGGTAACATCTGTGGCCAGCTGGTCGGGGGCCCAGCCCTCCCCAGCACCTTCCGATACCTCTGGGCTCCTGGTGTCCTTAGAGCCAGGGTGACTGTGCTCTGTCCTCCCCCCCAACGGAGCGGAGTTTGCCGCTGACTGACTGGCGCTGATGCCTCTACTCCACGGTGGGCCGGCCGGGCGATACCTGTCAGCTGGACCCCGGCCCAGGGCCGGCTGGCGAGGTCTGAGCCCCACTTGGCTTCCCCACACCCTCCTTTGGGACCAGCTCTGCCATCGGGGCAGCCAAGACGGCACAGGCGGGCAGGGCAGGGCCTGAGGCCGGCGGGCACGACCAGCCCCAGAGAGCACCGCAGCCTCCAATTTCCAAGTGGAACAGGGCGCCGGGGGCACGTGCTCCGTGTGGGTGCCCTGTCGGTGCCCATGCCAGCCAGGATGGCCTCAAGGGCTGGGCCACCCCCTCCCTGAAGCCCGGCCTCCTGACGCGGCCACACCTGCTGGCCTGTGGGTGCCAAGAGGGCAAGCTGCCTGGAGCCGGGCAGTGCATTCGCGGGCACGCAACGCGCCAGACAGACAGGATTGAAACAGCTGCCCGGGAAACATCGCAGGGTCCGTCGGGCAGCAGAGTGCGCGCAGGGCCCACTCACCGGTGCGGGAGTTAGGGCACCCTTGGCCTCCTCAGGGACCCTCGTCACGGCTACAGAGGGGTGGGCGTCCATGGTTGGGACCTGCCACGGTCAGCAGGCTAAAGCCAAGGGCCAGCTCGGCCTCCAGCCTCCACTTTAAGAGCCTGAAAGTCACGGGGCAGCCGGGGACCCTTCCACCGAGAACAGAGCCGGGGTGACCCGGCGTGGCAGAGACAGCAGCCTGCGGCCGAGCACCCATCCTGGCCACCACCTCTCCCTGGACAGCCACCTTCTCCCAGCATGCATAGCGAACCTTGTCACTCCCTCAAGGTCCCCACTGTTCCCGACCCACCCCCCTCCTCTGCTGCTGCCCTGCGTGCAGCAACACCGGCTCTGCCTGTCCCCATGTCTCCACTCCTGCCAACCCTTGGGCTCTCCTCTGGGGCCCCCTCCGCAGAGAAGCCCTCTGGACTCTCCCTGCCTCTGTCGCCTGCCTGGGTTTCCCTGCCGTCCCCACCCCCTCAGTGGGACTTGTAGGGCTAGGGTACTGTGTGCCTTCCTGGGTAGGCGAGCCTGCACTCTGCCCCCACGGTGTCCCCGGAGCCTCGGGGGTGCCGGAATCCGAGGATGAGTGGGGCCGGCGAGAGGGCGCCATGTCAGCTCTCCTGTGGGGTACGGAAGTCCAGCAGGGACCAAGCTTTGAGGGTACTAGGCGGCTGAACAGTGTCCCCGGGGAACCTGTGAGTGTGACGTTGTTTGGAAATAGGGTCTTTGCAGCTAGAATCAAGTTAAGATGATGCCGTCTAGGTCAGGGTGGGCCCTGAATCCAGCATCACCGGTGTCCTCACAAGAAGAGGGGTGTTTGGACACAGCCGCACAGGACAAGCCACGTGACTGCAGAGGCAGCGATTGGAGGGATGTGGCCACGAGCCCTGGAGCACCTGGAACCCCAGGAGGCCAGAAGAGGCAGGAAGGAGTCTCCCCGGCACCTCCAGAGGGCACGGGGCCCTACGACACCTTGAGTGTGGAGTCCTGGCCTCCAGACTGTGAGAGAGTGGATCCCGTTGTTTGAAGCCCCAGGTGGGTCATTTGTGCAGTAGCCACAGGACACTGACACAGAGACTCGGGCCTCTCCAAGCTGTCGGCACCAC